TCTGTTCATTCTTATCACATGGATCTGCCTGTTGGGAGAAGAAGTAGGGAAGGTTTTCTTGAAGTGCACCTACCCTTCTGGCGGGAAGGCTTGCTGGGATTGCTGGGCAGGTTTCTTCTGGAGGGTCCCATCTCTCTGGAGTAGCTGCAGTGGAGTTGAGGGCAGGTTCTCCGGTGAGGTAGGAATGTGCAGGAACTCCGCCCTCTGGGCACAGTCACACAAACCCAGCAAAACAGCCACAGCCAGCCCTAAAACCTCTAATGATCTTCACCTTCACCTCTTTCTAACCCAGTTCTCCACCACTTTTTGACCCATTTACCCAGGCACCTTCACCACGGGGCGGGGAGGGGGGGTGTGCATTCAAAACAGGAGCATTTCCGTGCACAAAACTGCCGAGCAGCTACTGCAGACACTAGTGCATGGATAGACCCTCTGTAGGGTTGTGTGTGTCTTTATGTATGTATACATATTTATTGCCATTCGTTGAATTTGTAGTCGTGTAATATGCGCAAATACTTTCTTTCTTGGACGGGTGTATTATTCGCGACTATACAATTAAGTACATAGCAGTGACTATCTACAGGCAGACTTTTTTTTTCCTTCCTAAGGGAAAATATGAATAATTAAATAATATAATCACTAATAAAACAGCAACTCTTGCTCAATGTTCTTTCTTAAGCAAAACTCTGATGTGGTTCAGTCAAAACGTCACCGGAGTTCAGTGGGAGTTTTGCTTGAGTGAATAGTGAATACGTGGTGATTGGGACCTCATATTAACACAAGTGGTGAGGGGGTGTGTATCTGAATCATAATTTCTGACATAAATCTTAATAATCATCAGAAGTTATAAAGAGCAAAATGACGTCCCGGTTAAACTGTTTTTTGAAGCACCGGATTAAAAAAAAAAAATTATCACTCCCCCAAAAAGTACTTTTGTGCCGTTTAAGGCAAAATATATTATTGTTCACTTTCTTTTAAACCCTTTCGTAAGAATACGTTCCACACAACGGACGCTATTTTACTGAAACAAAAGAAAAATATTTTAAAAATGTCAAAAACTGGTTGACTAAATATCCCATTGTGGATTTGAGTTACAGTTTATTATCCCTCAAACATGTTTGCGAAGGCAATCCTAAAATCGTAATTGGAGGTTTCTTGATGAGCAGATTTCTTCTCCTACGATCTATGCGAACAAAGTTAATCACCTCAAACATCAACTTGGAAAATAACAATAGCTCCTTAATTCCATAAAGACCACCCGTTCCCCATAAACAATCCAAATTAGGAAACGCTAAAGAATCGACCATAAGACACCGTAGCATTCTGGAAATGTGCATTTAAAAAAAAAAAAAAAATTCCTGAAAGATTAGCTTGAGGATTTGACATATAAAACACCATGGAAACAAATATCAGATAACAGAGTTATTGCCTACTTCAAAAAAAAAAAAAAAAAAAAAAAAAAAAAGAAAAAAAAAAAAAAAGAAAAGAAAAAAAAGAATGAAAAAACCCCAACCAAATCCACCACCTCACATTCAGTACCGAAGGATCCTGTGCAAAGATTACCCTGAAAGACATCCTCAGCGAACAAAAGAGTTTCTCTGGCTGGGGAGCAGGCAAAGGTAAAGGCATATTTGGGGCCTTGGCAGTCCTGCTACAATCCATGACAACTTCAGCATTTTTTTTTCTCTTCACAAAGACAATCTCATTGCTGGTAATATGTGTATGGAAACGTGAATAAATTACCAGCTTAACAACCAACCCTTCCCCCAGCGTAAGGAAAAGAGGGAAAAGTCTGTGGCACCTGAACTGCTTAGGCAGCACTTTGCTACACTAAACCTAAAGGAGAGCATTGAGAGCGAGTGCTTGCTTAAACGAAGTCTGGAAAGACATACATCAGGGCTACCCTTTTCAGGAATTATTATGCATCACGCTTATCTAATTAATGCTTATTAGCCAACCCCAAACTCTGACATGGGGAGATTCTGCTTTCCTCCAACCTGACTTGTCTTTTTTCTCCTCTTAGTACACTGTCAGCAGATTTTTTTACATGGTGAACTAAATAATACTTTAAGTATGTGCTATTGGATTTCCTACAGTACACAAGCAATCGCAAGTGGTAAATAATAAATAATTTCCTTTGTCAGCTGCAGCAGATGCCATTCTTTTAATTTGCTTAGGCACAAGTATACAGAATGGGGTCTCGAGGCTTCAAGAGTTTAAATCACACCTGCTTCATTTTATTGTTTCCGATAGGTTTGCTGCAAAGGAGTTTTGTTTTTTATTTTTTTGCGATCGCTTCTTTTAATGACAATAGAGTGAAGAATATGGGGGAGGGTAGGCGCTTCCAAGTGGTGGTATCATCTCTTCATCCCCAAACAAAGCAACCTTTTTCTCATAGTGATGATTAATTTTGAATTGCAGCAGTGAGAGTGAAAGCCAAGAATATCAGAGATTTCTCTCCTTCTCCCCCACATAGTGCAGAGCTGGGTGTCCCATCTCTCATCCGTAACCTTTCACTCCTCTCGCTTTCCTGCAGATCTGCTTGCATCTGTTTATTTATTACTTATTTTCGGAAGATTTCCCCTCCCTCCTCTTATTCTTTCAGCGTGACAAATATTCTGTTTGCAAGAATTCAGATTTGCTATTCCTTCTTCATTCACCCCCCGGCATTTTTTTTCTCTTTTTCTTCCTCTTTTCTGTCTTCCTAAAATCAGCTCTTTAAAGCGTTGGCGATAACATCTCCGAGCTGGAGATTATTTTTCATTGGGCCTATTGTGAGCGGTCGCCGGCTTATTGCACTGCTGCAGAGCCCGGGTTAGGCTACACCAGCGTAACAAATGAACAACTTGTCCTCTGCGGACTCACCGCGGGATCCAATTAGTTCCTAAACCTTTTGCACAAGTTTTCTAATTATTTTCAAGAGTTGCGGCTCTTATAGGCTTCCTTAAACTCATCAAGAAACCAATTCTTTTTAGGATTAAATGCTTCTTAAAATTAGTCGTAGCGTTGCCCCCTTAAAAGTGATGGATTGATTCTCCGGGCAACGGAGGACGCCGGCGGACGCTCGCTTGTTCGGGCTGGTGGGCTTCAGCAAGCGTCACCATCAGTAGACAGAGAGCGAAAAAGAAGCCCGTTTCTAAACTTTAAATTTAAATTTTAACATCCACACAGGTTTGGGGTTTTTTTCCCTAAAACGTTTCAACATCGGTATGCAAGCCAGGCGTCACGTGACCCCGCCAGCCCGCCGCCTCACTGCAACGTCCTGCGACTTCACCTCAGCCCCGCTCGGCTCCTTCCCCGTCCGGAGGGCGGGGGGGCAAGGGAGGGAGGCTCTAGCTGAAAATCTGTCGCCACTTTTACAACATTTAAAGCCAAAGTGTTTGCAGCATTAGAAGTATATAAACACATATAGTATAGATACCTCCGGAACAGTGTTCCCTTAAGATAAGGATTGCATTTTGTACACATACGTATCATAGCTTGCTAGATTTGATCAAATGATTATACGAAAGCTAATATATATATGTATATATACACACACATACACATCCATAGTTAATAGATCTCCAACTATCATAGAGTCGAAATTAATATCTTTCAGAAGAATAACTCTTCCAACGCATTTCAGAGATCGCAAGAACAATACGTATCTATGCAAAAATGCACCTTGGTTTTCTTCCTAATGTGCGCATATATACTTAAATATATATGTATGTATATATATGTGTATATATATACACGTACGCAGTTTTAAGCATCTTCAACGTAAGACAGTTTTTAGCAAGACACCCTACCTCGTACTAACAATTTTTAAGCAGACTTGATAAGAGTTCTGCCCCAAAACGGACATCACAATAGTGGCCGTGGTGTTTAATTAAATACACTGATTCTTTACATTTGAAAATACTGCTGTTAAAGACAATATGATCGGG